ATTTATATACATTTTAATTAGCGAAACGACAAATTTTTCAACATAATTATGCTTTTGCCTTAAAAATTTTGCAACGAAAATTAATTTTCATGCATATTATTAACTGAAATAAACAATTTCCGTCTTACATTTATATAATTTATGTGCTAAATTACAAATTGACAGCAAAAGTACAGTATTTTTTATTTCCTAGCTTAATTTTACATTTAACTTAAGCGCATTTCGTGCGATTTTTGCTGTCACACTTAAACTAACCGCAATTAATCGTATTTAATGCCGCGCATTAAGTGAAAACGCATTATTGTGGCCAAAATTTAATTAGTACACATGTATGTGTATATAAGTATTCCCAACTTACACATACACGAATGCTTACATATGTATGTAAGTATTATACTAAAAGAACTTAATTGAATACGCGCACACGCGCATACAAAAACATGTGTGTTCTTACACAAATGTTTGCTGTTTATATATATGCTTATATATAACTGTTTGCAGCAAGGAAATTTCAAAACAAACAATTCTCTATACGCGCAATTTTCTTGTAATTAGAGTTGAATTCACTTTTAACCTTTTATTTATGCTACAAGTAAACTACAAGTGCAAACAATTGCTTTGCTCTATTACACACACACGTATATATAATATGTATGCATGTATATATGTTTGTATACATTACTGTTATAATAGTTTAGTAGTTGTTATTGTTGTTGTTGCTTTCGTAAATATTTAAATACAATACAAAAGTTGAGTTATTTAATAGTTTGTACGACTTAATTGAAACTAATTGCCCATACATGTTACGTATACGCCAACGGGGCCATGTATGCAAATCTAACATCGAAGTAAATGCGTATATTTGCTACGCATGTACATATGTGTGCTTACACACTCTAAAATAAACATTACCATACAAATGTCTGCATGTGTTGAGCTATGACAGGGTTTGTGTTACCGTTATTGCAAATGTTTGTACATTTTGATTTTGTGTGTGTGAGTTTTGTGTTTGCGGCATAGTTGTGCGGTTGCCTACGCACTTTTAGTGGTCTCATAAATGTTTGATTCATTGCCCCCAAATGTCGGAATGTGACTAAAATAGCAGTTGCTAATTTCTGTTTAGACAATTTTTGATTATAAAATTTTTGTAGTACAACAACAACAACAGATTGAGCGTGCACTGGCTTATGATGGCACTCTACAGGGTAATTTAAATTTATGAGGCTTCTATTATATAATGATCTACACAAGGGCATTTTATTGAAGATATATTTTACCAATTGTATATATTTCGGTTCTTATAGTTGGCAAGGCGGTCTTTTTAAATAAAATTTCATATTTGAGGCTATCTTAAGAGGAGGAGGAGAATTTGTAGATTTGAGAAAATTTATAAAAAAAACTTATGCGAAAGCTTCTTAGGCATATTTTAACGAAAGCTTATGTGAAAGCTTCTTAGGAATATTTTAGCAAAGGCTTATGTGAAAGCCTCTTAGGCATGTTTACCGAAAGCATAAATAAAAGCTTCTTATCCACTTTTTATCAAAAGCTTGTATGAAAACTTTTTATTTTATCAAAAGCTTATGTGAAAGCTCTTTGGTCTTACTTTATCGAAAGCTTATGCGACAGTTTCTTGAGTATTTTTGGGTATCTTTTATTGAAATATTATGTGAAAGTTTCTTCGGTTTCTAAAATAATTTTCTTTTACCTTTTTATGTGCGCGATAATATTTTCACAGCAGTGTGCAAATAATTGCATTAAAATTTTACACTCTCAGTGAGTTATTGGAAAGCAATCAGATTACAATATGTCAAAGTAATTACATTATGAAAGTAATCGCAGTGCATGCTGACGATTTGGACAGGCGAATCAATTAATTTAATAATATTCTGACATTTATTTGCACACAAACCACAAACGCTTTGGGGCGTTTGCTTTCACATTTATATTTTTGTAAAATTGACACCGATAATTAATGCTTTTGTTGAAATTTGGTTTCTAAGCTATTGCTGTCCTTTTTGATTATGAAAAAAGTGAGTGTTTGTAAATATGTAAAGTAACTTTAAATTGAGTTTTTCGTACTGTGACTACTCGGTTTACCACCGTAGGGTGTAGAAAATATTGTGAATTATGCTCGCCTCGATTGGATTGTTGGTCGATCTCGCCAGAATCGAAAGCTAATATTGTAAGAAATGATCTAAGAATTTATCAAAGTTTCTATTAACAAACGCGTGAAAGGAAAATAAGGATAAGTTTGGAATAAATAACAAATTGAGAGTTCTTTTCCCTTTTGGGACCAAAAGAATTTTTTACCACAGTTGAGTTACCGGATTGAATACATAGCTTGTATAAAATTTTTATTATTGACAAAATGGCTGCTTTTCAGGAAAAGTCGTTTTTGTGAAAAATTTTATTGACTGATGTCCAGAGAATACTGAAATTATTATGGCGGAAACACTTCTCCTACCTGCTGAACAGCAGTGACAACATAATACCATAATATGGTGAATCCGATTCTCCAATCGATAACGATGACGATGGAGTGGACGTTCCATTGCCTGTCCATAATGAAGTTGGAATAGCAATTACCCGTCTGAAGAGCAACAAAGCGGCGGGGTCCGATGGATTGGCGGCCGAGCTATTCAAATGCGGCGCCGAAGAACTGATAAGGATCATGCATCAGTCTCTTTGTAGAGTATGGTCGAACGAAAGCATGCTCAATGATTGGAATTTAAGTGTGAATCGATTTAAAATTCACAAGTGAATGGATCTCCTTAAGAATTTAAGTTTTTCTGGGTTCGCAGTAGCCTAACTCAGTGTCTTATTATTCAAACTTTTATAAAATAATTAATTTGTTTAGCTTTATGAAATGTTCTTTTGTTTTACACAAGGTCTGTTGTTGTTGATCTTGACAGTTTTGAAATTTGTTAAATTTGGTTTGGTTTGCGTCGTATATTAACTCATCATTATCTGCTTATTCGAGTAAAATTTTCTAAGCAATATATTTAAGAGTAAAAGTAGATAGAAATAGTTAATAATTTATGATGTGTTTGTGGTTGCTTTTGTTTTTGTATTTTGTTGTAGGGTGACAGGTACATGTGCACTGAAAATATTTGGAGTTGATGGGATGCAGTAATTGATGTCCAGTAGGAGTATCATATACTAGATGCTTGTGGATGAGCTGTTTATAATATGTTCATAACATTTAGTACGCATTTAATTAACTAACTATTTTAAAAATACACTACTTACAATTAGTGAGAATATAGATAAATAGAGCTTAAGTGTGATAAGAAAGTAAAGTTCAAATTTTTTACAAAACTAATTTCTAAAATTGTGATTTCACTTTAAATGAGCGACGATTGACATTTACCTTTGTGATTGTGAGTACGTGAGAAGTGTGCATGAGCGGGGCACAGGGTTGCATTTGCAGTAGCTTTGTTTCTCTCTCTCTCCCTCTGTCATACTCCTAATACGAAATTCTCATTTACCTTTTGACATTTACCGCTCATTCACACACCTCTCATTCGCTGCTCATGCCAGCTTCCGCATCATGTCGCTTGGCGTCTCGTCCACAACAATCGCATCCAAGTCCTCCAAAGTGGTGAATTGACTGACCGCGCTATGACGCGCCTCCAGCGTTGCATGCTTGCCGTGTATGTGCTGCCGCGGCGCGTGCATACCCGGTGTAAGCGGTGTGAGCGGCGTGAGTGGCGTCGTCGGCCAATTGCCCACTGTTTCGATAAGTGCCGGCGCCGAGACGGTGGTCGACGGCATGCGTCCCGTATTGGCCGAAACCGTAGACGTCATTGCAGTTGTCGTTGTCGCCGACGCCGTCGGGCCGCACTGTGTATTCGCATGGAAGCGCGCCGTTGTGAGGAACGATAATTGCCTAGGCGCTGGTGGCGGCGGCAAGAGCGGCGTGAGCGCAAAACTGCAGTGTTTCGTATTACTCGGACTGATGTTTGTCGTATTGGCCAGTGGTGTGGTGGCCGCGCTTAACGAGTGTCTGCCGGCTGGTGTTGTTGGCGCGCCCAACATCAGAGTTGTCGGCACCGATGAGATGGTTAGCATTGAGCCGGACAGCGAGGAGGGCACATTCAAGGAGTCTGCCACCACAGGTGGCGAAAACGTCACAATCGCCTTGGTTATGTGTACATTTCTGCCATTACCATTCGTGCCGTTGGCTTTGCCACCGTTTAGGTCCACGTGGTCGGCGCCGTAGTCATTAGCACCACTGTGGCACGAACCGGGTAAACTGTTGAAGTCCTCACGCAGCGTTGAGCTGCGTCGTCGCTGGCGATGGTGATGCCGGTGGAAGCTTTGACAGCGCGTGCAGCTGCGTTGCAAGTGTTGTTGCTGTTGCTGCTGTTGCAATTGATGGTGCGCATGCGGATGCGGGTGTAGGTGATGATGATGTATGGCATTGCGGCCGCAGCTGCTGCTCCCGCTACAGGAGCTGCAGCTGCTGAGCTGTCGTCACATGATCGAGCGGTTACCGTCGAATTGTTGCACTGAGGTGTAGCTGAATGGTGTTGAGGCGGCTACCATGGCGGCAGCAACTTTGCACTGCATCGGCGGGTGCGGGGAGAGGAGAAGAATAGTTAAATTTAGCATTCATTTTATGTATTATAAGATTTGAGTAGATCAATTTTCTTTGGGGCGGGGCGAACAACATAAAATACATGGTAATGCAAATGTGTGCGTGTGTGTGTGCATTTGGTGGTGTCTATGCTTTTACTAGTGGCTTAATGCTCCTACGTTTGGTTGTGAATGTATCGAACTAATTTTGGTGCTTTGTTTGGCTGTGTGCGTACAGTTTTACACTTAGTATAGCGAATACTTGTGGGTGTGTGTGCTTACAATATGAATCATGTACTAGTATGCAGGGCTTTTGGTGTTCACATGTGTTGTGTTAGTAAGTATAGTTGTGCTTACAGTGCCGATTGGGTATACATATGTGTGTGTAATATAGTAAATATATTCCTGAAGTGGTGTTATTAGTTACCTTTAGCAACAAGAACAAGTCGCAAATTTTATAATAAAAATTTTGTCGTTATCGGATTAAATAAAAAAAAAAACTTTTTTCACGAAATCCAACGAATGAACTCGTTATTATTGTATTATCGATATATTTGATCATATCACATGTCCAGCAATTTGAACGCTGGATATTGTCTTCAAATGAAAATTTGTCTTAAAATTTTTCTGACTACCACAGAAGTTGGTGGCATGAACACTTTGTCAAATATCTCTATATATCGTCATTTAAAATGCAAAATAGCGTAACATCATTTTAAACATGATCTAGTTGAAACCATTAATATAGATACAAAAATTGAGTTTTGGTTATAATATGGTTATATATTGGTTATATATCGGTTATCATTCACTCATATTAAAGCAAAGTTTGAGTTTTCGTTATAAATTGATAAAATATTGGTTATCATAATCACTTATATAAAAACCAAACAAACACTCTAACTGTAATATTCGATTTTCCAAAGCTTCTTTTGAGACACATTTTTAATAGCAAAATCTTTTTCTATAGACAGGAAGAGGCAGTATTGATGTTTGTGATCTAGCGTTGTTCTGATTGAACAGTAGTGCTTTATACGTATTAGGGTGCCCATTAATTACCCAGTTGATTGTTTTTGTAAACTCCAGCTGAAGTTTTAGTTTTAGCTCAAAAGCAAGGATCCAAATTTCAAACGCGCTTCATTTTAAATTTATTTTAGTTTCATCTGGTAGACCAATAAGCTACGCATTGACGATTTTAGCGCTTTGCGATACCAGATAGAGTTTAATTGCTATAATAGTAGTCCTCATTTAGGATGCCTGCGCTTAACGCGGATTTTAACTCTGCGGCCCCACCATCGCTACCTCTAGCTCACAGCATAGTCTTATGAATGCCAGACAAGTGCCCAAGAAATGATTGTTTTCCTAGTGCACTGCAGTAGACATTTGCTATAGTTTTTTCGATCTGTCAGCCCCTTCCTGTGGGCGTCTAGTATTCCTATCATATTTATGCTTTTTCCCAATAAGATTTTGAAGAGAAAAGGCGATTTTTTTTTAGGAAAAAAATTGACAATTTGTTTTTGTAAAAAAAGTTAAATAACTCACCTCGTAAATTATGTGCAAACATTGTAAAAAATTGAAACCTTTTCTACCCTTACAATACATCTTGTATCACTTTACTTTTTAGCATTTAAGCCATTTAACCCTTCAAAAACGGGTTTTTCTGAATTGAGTTAATTAACATGGCAAATTGACTACTTTAAAGTCCTGCCTGAAATAAATCTAATTCGTACACGCCTAAAAATTTCTGATCGATATCTTAAAAACTAAGCCACTTTGTATACTTGTATTATATATATTTTATAGGGTCTCTGAGGTTTCTCTATGGGTGTTACAAATATCTTAACTTAATGTACCCTGTACTGGGCATAATAAGTATACGAGTACTATACATGAATTTAAAAAAATTATCGTACGGAAAGTATGCAAGTACGAGCACATGTAATGCAGATAAATTTTCTTTTCCTTTCTGTTATAGCATATAAAAAACGCTTGTAAAATGGGACGAAAAAAAACTTCCATTTTGATGATTTTGTTCATGATATGGCTTTTGTGGTATGAAATATGGAAATATGCCAGACACCGTTATAAGCATGTCTACATATGCGCATGTTAATGTTAGACACATAGATAATAAATCAAATTAAAATGTCGGCCTTAAAACTTGCCTTGTGCGACGCTAGTCAGTGCAGTGTTTGAAGATCCATGTCGCCAAAGGACAAGAGGTCACTTGTGGTACAGACACGTCGCTGTAATATGCGCTGAAATCATTTCGTGGCTATTAAATATACTTTTTGTGCTTTTTTTCTTACAATAACAAAACAAAATCCAATTCAACAAACATAGCCGGAGCGCATAAACACATGCCAGTTAGCGGTATGAGTTAAGCGATTTTCGAAAAAGCGTATAAAGGGCTTTGTACACTTCTCTTTTAAGCATATACTATATATTATATGTATATATAAGTTTTTGCAATTTCTTATAATGATTTGCCAGCCAGCAATTTGGGTTTCACCAGTCAATGTGATCCCTTCGAATTTAACTGGCAGCAATAAATCACTCAACGGGCGTTGAAAATCAGTATAAAGAAAAACATAAATGGACAATAAATATAAAAAATTAGAGAAATGTTAGCTATATTGTAAAATTTAAAATAAAATAAATAAACAAAAATACTTTAGCTACAAAAGCGCACAATTGCTTTTCGATAAATCCATTTCAGTTTTTTATGGAAAAATAAATGACCTTGTTCAATTGTCAACAGCTGAGTGGTCAAGTTGCTCACTTGATTACACATATATACACAGAGGAGCATACATGCAATATTTCATTGCCAACGAAAGTAAATATATACGATAGATCTTCACCACGACTGCCAGTTCAATGGAATAACTTAAAATGAATCTCAACAGCGGATACATGCATACCATTGGAAATTGCTTCCTCTTTATATTTTCAAGCTATATATACAATTTTTTGATAATATTGCTGAAAATATATTTATTGCAAGAAATTACTATATTTGTTAGTAGAAATAGTTTAAAAATATGACACAAAAATTCCACTTGAATTATATGATCAGGCAATTAAAAAGTTTCTAATCCGATTTAAAGGTTAGGGTAGGTTAATCTGGTAGGCCAATGCCAAGCATAGACCAGTTTTGGTCCTTTGTGATACCAGATGAAGTTCAGTTTCTACGCCCGGCTGCGCTTGACGCAAATTTTAACAGACTCTGCGGCCTTACTATCGCTACTTCCTCGGGTGTATCATACCCAGTGGACCCACAGATGCTTACAACGTAGTTGCTGGGGAGATGCCCCATTATTTCCCTGGTGCCTGGTTCTAGACATTTCCTGTAGTCTTCTCAATCTGCTCACTCCATTTTGCGGGTGTGTGCCGCCACCCGACAATGACCATTCAATATTCCGATCACGTTCCTACAGTTTCATCAATCGAGTGCTATTAGGAGTTTTGTGTACTTCCAATCTGCCGTTTTGCAATTCGTGCTATCGGGTTTTTATTTCTTTTTTTCGGGTGTTAGCCGTACGCCATTCTTGGCAATCTCGTCCATTATTTCATTGCCCTCAATGTCTTTGTAGCCTGACACTCAGTAGAAGTGAAGCTGCCTGTCTTTGGCAAAACTTTCCACTGCCATCCTGCTTCGCAAGACAGCTCTGGCCGATATGCGACACGTGCTTTGACTCTGAATTTGGCTTCAGGTACATTAGAGGCCATATTTAGAGCTAGTGGACAATTCTGGAGGGTTGTCCTCAAGTCGACAAAACTATATTAAGGACATTCGTTTAGAATTTTTGCTGTGGTGAAGCAAAGGTATATTATTAATATGATTGTGTTCGAAATAACTCTTCAGAGTGGAAACGCATCCAATTTTGAGTTTATTAAGCTATTAAAAAAAAAAAAAAAAAAAAAAAAAAAAAATTACCAAGTTTCGATTTCGATACAGTTCTCAAAAATCAGCTACTGGCTAATAACTATCACTTTGCTATAAAAAAGAGGTGGGAAAAGATAACATATTCTCTAGTTAAATTTTCCTATTGGGTGCCAACTTAGAGACAATCGTTTCAATCACTTGACAAGCTTGTATGTGGAAACAATTTGACATGGTATTAACACAGTATTGAATGATAAAGTAATTGTAATATGAAACAACATTTTTTTATTTACAAATGGTTAACTATTGTCGACAAAAAGTATATACATTTAGGCCATATATATATGTATGGCCTTACTATACTTTTCGATACGTTTTTGTAGGCATGTGCAACGCATGTAGTAGTAATGCAGTTATGAGGTAAGTGAGCTTGGCATGTTGAGTTGAAAAGGATAAAATAAAATTTATATTTTTTCCTTTGAAGGTTTTTACAGCTGGGCTGAATTTTATGATGGTTTGTTCAATGGCGGTAAAAATCACATAAAAAAATATTAAGTAATATATTTACATTTTTTTTATCTGTAATGGCGTCGTAAAGTGTGACATTTTTGATGTTATTCATACTCAGAACACTTAGATATACGAGCGGTATTTGTGTTGCTTAAAGTTACTTGAAATACGCAACTTGGCAAAAAATAGAATTTAACCGTGAAAATTTTCGAGCCTAGTTCAGTATTTACCGATGATATGGTGAATCCAATCGTAGTTGTTGATCACTTCAATACGAATTTCTTTAAGGTTAATATTGCCTGATCGTCATGTGATCTATCGTAAGACAGATCCAACTATATGCATTATTATAGACTCGTGTCGATTTATCGGGAAAAATATGATAACTGTGGTTCGTCTGCTAAAATAGTAAGAGATGATGAAACGTGAATTTACTCATATGACCCCGAAAGTAAGGATCATAGGTGTTTCAAAATGAGCCGAAGTTGTTCGTACACAAACAGCATCCAAGCAAATGGTTGTATGTTTTTTAGCAAAACTGAACCACTAGAGCAGCACAGAACAACATATACTGAGTGATACACAACCA